AAAAAAAAAAAAAAAAAAAAAAAAAAAAAAAGATGGGGCATGTGAGTGTGCGTGTTTTTATTTTTATAAGAAGGATATATCAAAATTTGATTTCAATTTTTTTGAATGCATCATTTCGCTGATTTTTCTTCCAGACTTTGCTTGAAGCGAAAAGGAAAGCCGATGAACGTATCACCAAGTTCGAGAAGGAAAGAGAAGAAAAAGAAGACCTGGAGGCGAAGATAAGGGAGGAAATCAGGAAAAAGGAGATTGAGCTCATGCGCAAGCAACGTGAGAAACAGGTGAGAAATATCATGGACTCATGGCAGTGTATTTACTATTTACTATTTACTAAATTGTTTAAAAAAAAGAAAAAAGGTTCTACTCAGAGACTTTACAAAAGGCATCTCAGTTGTTTCATTAGTGAGACGGAAAGACGGCGAAGCGGCGGTAAGAGTCAATGCTAACATTTTAAGTATTAATAATTAACTACTCTGCATCAACACAATCCCACCTTTGGGTCACCTCTCTGTGGAGGTTTATGGATTTGATGGCTGTGGGGACCACCGTCTTTGTGGGTCACATCCTTGTGGCTTAACTTCAGCCACAAGCTTTGTCAGTTACCCTTGGTTTAATTCCTCCTCCCCTCCTCCCCTCCTCCCCTCCTCCCCTCCTCCTCCTTCCCCCTTCTGATCGAGAATGGAGCTATAGCACAAGCTATAGTAGAAGCAATAGGTACACCACAACTAGTTGTATAGCCGTCTCTATCACAGCAATAACACATGCTATACAGCAAGCTACAGCACAAGTTATAGCACAAGATATAACTATGCCACAGCCAGTGCTAAATTCGGGTTCATCCCAGCGGTAGCATGAGCTAGAACACAAGCTATAGCACGAGCTATAACGCAAGCTATAGAACATGTTATCGTGCTATAGCTGGGTCTATCACAGCTATAGCGACAGCACAGGTGCTAACCTTAGACTGAAGCGCCCAGGTTCAGGTCTCAGTTTCATCGTACACAAGTGTCTGCGCTATCAGAAAAAGAAAAAAAGAGCAATGGAGAAAAAGACTGTGGTCTAAAGTTCTTCACCTGTCTGGATCTGGCCACAGATTTGGACCAGGTTCATTGCTGCTCCGATGTCGTGAACAGGCTTTTACAAGAATTTTCCTTTGCACTGTTGCACCCTACTGTGCTGTCCTGCATCGACCTCGGATAAGCTATAGAGTATAAACATTGTAAGACCAGCAATGAACCTGGTCAATGGACCCGGCTACAGTGTGTCCCACTATATCTATAGCTGTCAAAAGACTATGCACTGTTGCTATAGCTCAGTGCCACCTGAGCCAAGGCCTTCAGTCTCAGTCACAGTCTCAGTCTCAGATTAGCACAGCCTGTAATTTGCCGCAAATGTCAACTATTGGGTTTGCTCGACAGAGCACAAAACTCCGGCCTCTAGCGTCCTTTAGCCTCCTTTAGTCTCCCTTAGCCTCCTCTAGCCTCCATTAGCCTCCTTTAGTCTCCTTTAGTCTCCCTTGAGCCTCCTTTAACCTCCTTTAGCCTCCTTGAGCGTCCTATAGCCTCCTTTAGCCTCCTTTAGCCTCCTTTAGCCTCCTTGAGCGTCCTTGAGGCTCCTTTAGACTCAGGCTAGGGCCAGCAACAGTCCACGAATAGCACCTATGATCCTCTACACTCAGGCTATCGCAGGGTACGGTTCTCCAAGAATGGTGAAAAGCAATATTTGGCATAGCAGTGCCCAAACCGTACGGCCTACGGGCGCAAGTTAGCATTGGCTATGGCTACAAAAAGAAAAAGAAAGCCACTTCTACTATGGCTATGCCGTGCTTGAACCCGACGGGCTCAGCAGGCTTGGGATAGCGCCGGATATGGTGTTCTCCACAAATAACAGCGAATGTTATAGCTCATTGTTTTCCGAACCCGCTGACTTTCATCCTTCGATTAGCATCAACTATAAATCTCATAAAACAAAAAATAGCTATTGCCCGTATAGCTCAGCTCTGGGCCGAACCCAAGGCCCTCAGGCTCAGGCTCACACCAGCTGTTATTCTGCCAAATTTGTGTGTTGCTGGGTTTTCTGACGTGGTGTGCTCGAACCAGGTGTCCTTAGGCTCAAGTCCACTGTGCCGCATGTATTCTGGAATGAGAAACTCAAAATTTTTGGAAAAGTGAGAAACGATTGCATGCAGGAGAGCGGCGCAGAAGGATGCATATGCGCGCAAGACCAAAAAGGCACCAAAACAGTTACGCGAAATGCCAGTGAAGCTGCGCCTAATCCCTAAAGCGGAATTGGAATTTAAAAGTCAAAAGAAAATTCCGCGCGCGAAATCTAAAAGCCGAGAATTGCTACGTCTATTCCTATTCCACCATCCCATCAACAAAAAAATCCTGGGGCTTGCAGGGACATCTCCGAAATGTACATGCACAAAGAAAGGACTTGTTGCAAAGTATCCCAATAGGCACCTGTGATCTCCGGAATTCAGAAAACCTGAAGAAAAAAAGAATTCCGAACGCTGAGCTCACACTCCTCTTCCGCCCCTCCGCCTCCCCCCTCCTCCCCC